CCCCACCTTCTCGGGGATCTCACAATAGCCAGGTCGTTCACGAAAGACGACAAATCACAACAAAGAATGTTTTTTGAGGATAGGAGATCCATTTTACTCCAAACACCGTCGCGGCTGCATATCCAAAACTGAAAGAAGAAAAATGTGTGACAAAAGATTGCAAAAAAAAAATAAAAATAAAAAAAAAAATAATTTAGTTTGCTTTTGTATGCGCCAAAAACTTTGTGTGGGGAAAAAAGTAAAACTTTTGAAAAGATAAACAACCGTCTCAGTGCCTTGCAATGGCATTCAGATCCCCGGAGCTTTTCTCTTATTATGTACACAAACGTTGATGCATTTTATCAGGATTTGAAGTATATAAATCAACACATCACAGTGAGTAATTGTGAAGTGGAAGAAAGTGAGATAATTATGAGAATATTCTACAGATAATAATATCCATCTAGCCCAAGTTGCTCTCAAATATTGACATGATACACAATATAACCAATCGAGCCCACAGCCAGAAGTGGGTTGAGTTAATTGTACTCAAGTAACAGCAACACTACTTCAACAAATGTTCACTTCAGTAAGAAGAAATCATTCAAGACTTGAAAAATATTTGGAAAATAGGTTACTCAAGTAAGTGATCAAAACATAATTTAATATTTAAACCGAACTGAACAGTTACGTGGAAATGATTGATATAAATAACAGATACAAAATGAAGTCAGACGAAAGAAACATTTCTTTCAACATAAAACTGAGGAAGCTTTTAACAAAAGCTGCAGGTTTGTGTTTGAGGCTGATGAGTGTTTGGTTCAAACAAACTTCTTTCTTTCAGTGGAGTTACTCGTGCACATTAGGTTGAGTGTCCAGAAATGTTGATCAAAAGAAGCGAAACTGCACAAGTGAAAGCAAAAAGTGCAGCGCAGACGAAATACTCCTAAAAAGTCACTCGAGTAAATGTAACTGAGCAAACTGTCCAGAACCTCAACGTTGAAACACGGTGCTGGACGGATCATGCTGTGGGAGATTCCAACGATGTTTCATTTTGTTTCGTTCTGTGTGGGGATGAGCTGTGTGTCATGATCTGAAAGAGCAAATGACTTCGGCTGGGAATACTGTGATGTTAGGAAACAAACAGAACGGCTATGATCCCCGTAAACAAGCTAATCAAAAACATTGAAGCATAATACATTTATCAACACGATGTAAAAGAGCTTGAGCTATTGGGTAAAAAAACGTTCGGAAATCTTTGATGTTAAAGGTGTTTTGGCCCTCTAGCGCCTGACAAACATGTTTATTTTGGTTGTATTCACCCAGAACCCCCTGCGTTGTAGTCCACTTCCTGCTTTTGGATTGGACTCTGGTTCACTTTGATCACGTAGGAATCGCACCAGAGTTCACCTTATCTTGAACCTAGACTGAGGCTTTTGGGCGTAAAAACCTGAAGAGTTTGATTGGACATTCGCGCCGCCCAAAACCAACCGGACTTTCATAGTTCATTTGAAGTGGACCAAGCGACGCTGGTGTGAATGCGCCTTTAAATGTTCAAAGCATAGAGAGACGCTCCCTGAGGGACTGCTTCGGTTAATGGTGCGTTCAAATGCACGCTGCACTTCTCCTCCCACCTCTATGCACTACTTTGTGAACGCCTGCTGCATAAAATCCCAATAAACATCATCCTTTGTGGTAAGAAAAGAACAGTGTGCAAACGCTCACAGGAATGCGTATTTGTCTGCATGATAAGTCTCTTTTACATGAAGGCCTGTTGAAAGCACTTGACCTGCACCACGGCAGCCATGCGAGGCACTTCACATACCAGGAACAATTTTAAGCACCACAACTGTAGTCGTGCAATAAAGGAAAAGCGCAGACCTCCGAGCCAGCTGCTCTAAAAAACACCCACTACATCCACAGAAAAAACATTTGACAGAAAATGGCATATTTACACCCTGGACCCTTTGTCACTTTAACTGCTCCGGCTGCGGACGGCGTTTTATTGGGGACGTTATTTGCAGCTCGGGGGAGTCGGGGACGAGAGGGAGCGGCCTTCACGGGCAAATCAAAGAGTCGCTCTTGTGTGAGGCACGGCTGAAGCCGCAGGGACGACGAGGCACAAAACCGATTCCTACTTTCTTCCTCTCCCCTTTCTTTGTTATTTTTAACTTCCACCAGCAGAACGGGGGAATCGACGGGAACGCAGCCGATGTTATGCGGCGGCTCAGAAGGAGACGGAACCCAGAGAGGAGAACAGAACGTCCGCTTCGATCGCTGACGATGAAAGCGGGACGAGTTGAAACAAAAAAAAAAAAAAAAAACTGCAAAAAGGTATAAAAGCGTCTTCTGTTCTGTGCTTGTATTAGGTCAACCCAAAAGATGAGCTGGTTTCCTTTTTTTTTTTTTTTTTCTTTTCTTGGCAGTTTGTCAACTTAGATGTTGAACATAATGGAGGAAGTGAAGCAGACGCAAACGCGCACAGAAACACACACGCACCAATCTTTCGTTCTGTAACTTAATTTATTTCCTCCAGCACCAGCAAGTACATGCATGACTTGGCATCAAACAGCCTACAGAAATGCATGCGGCTTGATTACTTAATCAGATATTCTTTTAGATGAGTTGCTCCATACGGATCACGGGACGCGGCTGTGCGAGGCCTCACGAGTACAAGCTCCACGCGATAACGCAAACTCATTCAGAAGTTAATGAGTTGAGCCGAGTTAATTAATCCATCTAAAAAATAAAAATAAAACACACACACAAGACAAGCACGGTGCAAAAGCGATTTGTTTTGTTTTGTTTTGCTCTTCGTTTCTCGTCGCAGAGATAGACCCGTGTGAAACGGGGACGTCGTCGCGGCGCAAATCAAAGATGGTGGGGGGGCTGCTGCTTTGCAAGAGGTTAGACGAAGTTGCCATGAACGCTTTTAGCTTGCGAGCAGATAAGCGGAGGTGAGGGGCGAGGAGTCGAGCAGAAGGTAGCGGCAATCGAGTGTGCAGAAATGAGCGTTTTCGGAGCGCTCTGCTCTACCTCGGGCGCCCCTGCTGCCTCCCCGGCTGCACAGGATTATTTTCAAAAACTGTTTGTCTGGCAAGAGACGATTATCCTGCAAAAAGTACATGTGTTGTTGTTGTTTTTTAAATTGATTAGATTAAGCTTTTGAACTGTCCTCAAGCTCTGCGGGTACACTTGCAGACGAATGAATAAATCAGAGAAATAAAACAACAACAACAACAGAACCCAGGATAAATGGGTAAGTGTCGCTTGCGCAAAATTCGCTGATTGGCGTGATAAGAAACAAAACAACGGAGGCAATTTGGGATGCGGAATAACTCTGGTTCTGTTGTAGCAAGGGAGTCGAATGGCTCCACAACATTTATGTGGAAAATAAAAAATAAGCAAATTTCTTTAAATCGGTCAATAATAGTTCTACCATTGGGTGGATTTGATTACGAGTTGGATGGATGAATGGATGGATGAATGGATGGATATCTTTGCCCTATATGACATATTTAACATGGATTATGATGTTGAATCATAATGCATGTTAAGAGGAAAGAAGAGAAAGTCAATACAATCTGATGGTCAACATACAGAGACTACTGCAAATTCAGAGAAGCAGATATATCTGAAAGCAATTAGATTTTAAAAAAATGTAGTTGGGAGTGAAAGGTTGTGGGCAGTATGGTCAATAACTGCAGTACAAATTTTATATTTTATTAATTTTATGTGATGAACCCAATAGTAGGGCGTATTTAGAAGTGGAAATAAATTCCTCGTGGTTCTCTAAGTTGCTAAATCAAAGTTTGGAAATTGTTGGCAAAAAGCAAACCTGAGCGTCACAGCAGAGTCACAGGAAGAAAGTCACTGTTGGAAGTTGCTATTTTGTGACCAGCCGTGTGAATGTGTTGGAAGGCGACAAATTTAAACCCAGTGGTTTAAAATTTCTGAGTTTCATTTCATCATGCTGTGGGGATCATTTTTATAGAACATACTGGAAGACGAGTTCGGTAAATGAAGACGGGTGAAGCGAACTGAAAGGCAATAATGGAAAAAAGAAAAAGAAAACAAAACAGGATTGGTCCAACTTCCAGCTGCACAGAGACCCTGAACGTCAGAGCTAAAAGTACAACACATGTACTTTTTGCAGGATAATCGTCTAAAGTCTTCAGTCGAAAAACAATATTCATGTATTCGAATGGCCTAGTCAAAGGCCAGACTTGAATCCAACTGAAAAGCCAAGAAATGCAAAGAAGACACTGCTCAGACCTTCCATCACACTTTAGGAATGAAACTTTTTGCTTTATTTGAATTATGTTAATCGATAAAACCAGAAAGTTTGTGTCAATAACATATTTAATTTTTCAAAACGCAAGGGTAAAACTTTTCTCAGTTGAACAAAAAGTAAAACTTGTACATAAAAACAAGAGAAATATGTTTTTCTGGTCCACATGTTATTTTCACAGTAAAGTTTTGGACCCTGTGGGAATGTGTATGTGGACGCCACTGCTTGGTCCTTCATCCTCTTATCAGCAACCTATTTATCAATATGAGCGATGGTGTATGAAAAAAAAACTTGGGGAACAAAGTCATTTTGGAATGACAATAAAGTCAAAGTAATTTATTTTTATTTGAATTTATTCTTGAAATATTGTGACTATTCTCACAATTTCATGACTTTATTTTTTATAATTTAACGATTTTATGGTGGCCCTCATAGTCCGTCACACATTCTCAACTGTGGCTGTAGGATAGTAAATTCATCCCCTTGTGAACGCAGCGAGCGTCTACGGCTGGAGCTTGGAGCGGTAGAGTTATCGTTTTGTGTAACAGGCCTGATTAACGTTAGGGGTCAGGCCTCCAGAGCAAGTAATTTGAAGAATTTATGAACTGCAAAGAAGACGGAGAAGTGGGGCCTGCTAATGATGCTTCTCCCTCTTCCAGCCAATCAAGGAGGAGGCGGCTCGGTGTGGAGGGAACCGGTGGCGTATGTAGCAGAAGGGAACGCTGGGAAAATAAAACTCGGGAGCAGCAGAGCTGACAGCGTTGAAGAGGGATGCCGGCCGACAGCAGGAGCCGCCGAGGGAAGATAGTTGGAGGTGCTAATAGACGGCGCAGCTGAAAGCTACACGCAACGAAGCTCGAGACAAAGGAGCTGATAAATGATCCGGGAAGGCTGTCAAGGCACAACGAGGAGGTGGGTAGAGTTAAGTAGTCTGCCCCTTGCTGTCAGGATAAAGGCTTGCCGTATACACATGTTAATGTTTTCCCTGGGAATCTCACTGCTGGGATTTCTCTACCATCCCCATTTAAGATGCCAGTTGCGTCTGGGTGATAAATTCCTTGGTCAGCCACCGTCAGACCAAGAAACAGCAGCGGCTGCTTTCCTGTCTGGGGGGAACGTTGCTGCCGTATGGTTCCTGTTGGGAAGGCTAATCTGGAGTCTTTAGCTCCTCTCAGACCAACTAACGGTGACTGTGACAAAATAACGTCCCTCTGGTGCTATTGACCGAAATTGAAAAGCAGTTTCAAGCTTTAGCCTTTTACAAGAGCCCTTTTAGCTCCTTTAGCATTAACATTATCTTATATGGTCTTCTTTCAGCTAGCTAACCGGCAGTGTAAACGTGGCGTACTTTAATAAGAGGCTCGATAAAATGCTCCCTTCCCAGTGACGTCAAAGTAAAAGAGGCTTCTTTGAATTTTTAGCGAGTGCTGTCGAGCTACTCGGCTAGCAGCTGCTGTTAGCCGGCTAGCAGCTGCTATTAGCCCGGCTAGCAGCTGCTGTTAGCCGGCTTGCAGCTCCGAAAATGCTTTATTCCTTCTTTGAAATAAGAGTCAGAGACAAAAATATGACAGCAATAAATGCAGATAGTGAGGATTAAGGCCATACTAAGAAATGATAAATACAATTATGAGAATAAAGTTGTAATTTTGCAAGAACAAAGTCACAATTCAACTCCTTGACTTTATTCTTGTAAGACTTTAATCCCATAATCTTATTTGTATTTTCTCAGAAATGTCCATATTTGTTATTCTGATGATAAATTTAACATTTTGAATCACAAACGATCAATTCTAATATTTAATGACTAGCATTTATTTCTTTAAATTGAAATGTGTAGATTGGGGAATTATGTTGTTTTCATAAATTACTTTTTCTACCCTTTACATTTATAGCACTAATTTAGATAAAGCCTCCTTTCGATTGTTTGGGATGACTACAGTTCGACCACCCACCTTGGTTAATCCAGACAGTTGAATTTGTTCCAGTGAATATCCCACAGACTAGCATATTTAAAGCAGCAGTGACCTCTGAACACAAGCTTGGCCTGGATGTGCACCGCAGCTCCAACAAATCACCTGTGTCTGTGCTTCTGACCTCCTTCCACACGGATGCTTCTCAGTTTCCAGAAAAGTTTCTTGTTTCTGGTTGTCGGAAAAACACCGTCTTCAAACAAACATTACTTTTGAATAAAAGATGACCTTGCGAGACTACCTCTCAATCGTTTATGAATTTTTGGCAACCTGGATGAGTAAAATGAAAAGTATGCCCTGCTGTCGAATCGAGATGATTCTGACTTTATGTTCGACAGTGCCGCAAACCAAAGTACCAGAATACTGAGCGTACAAATAAGACAGGAGGATCTCCTCGCTGACCTAAATCATCCATTTGCGACTTTGCAGGGGTTCATTTGTAAAGAGCAACAGCGCGTTCAGATGAGGTGGGAGTCGCCGGGCCTCGTTTAAGACGTCTCCTGCTTCTAATTCCCCTGCAGTCAGATGCTGTTGACATTTCGGTGTGGACTTGGTGCTCCATATCTGTACATAATGACTTCCCCACGAGGACTGCTGCTATCGTCTCAGCGGCATGCCACTCTGAGTCAATAATAACTGGACTGGAAACCTGGCCCAGAGAAAGCGGAGACGCGACTGACAGCTGGATCGGGAGAGAAGGAGAGCAGTAAGTGTTAGCTCTGCGGAAAATATGAAGAAAACCTAAAGAGAACCAGGGCCGGTTTGAGGGGGTGGGGGTGAAGGAGGGCAAAAGTGGCAACTGTGGAGAGAGGACAGGAAGTGAAGGGGGGAACGACTGGAGAGAGAAAGAAGAGGAGGCACCAGGTGTGAATTCATGGACGGGGTCTCTGTTCTTAACCAGAGCACACACAGAGGTCTTTGTCTGACGGAGTAAAAGACCGGCCAGCTGCTGGGAAAAGAAGAGGATGAAGGGATCTGAGGTGGACACCGAAGGCAAGGGTTGGCGCTCTTCCCTTCCTGGCCCTCTCTGCGCCCTCGATGGGAGGCGCCGTGCCCGTGAAGCGCCTTCCTTTTTTCAGCTTGGCCCCTCCAGCGAGGGCTGCTCTGATCCAAAACGCCAGTAAATGGGCTTCATTTAGGAGATGCTTTTCACGTCGTGTTGACAAGTACGTTTACAAGCCATGGTCATTTATTCGCGCCCCAGCAACACGCTAGCAGATGTTTTTTTAAAACTGCCTGTTTCTGGCCTATTTGGAAATATATTTCTAACTTGATAGGACGGTAGAAATGAGGTTAAAAGACCCATGCAAGGGCAGTAGTCGGCGGTAATGATTACAACAGGAGAGTGAAAGGGAAGAACAGTCTGGGGTTTGGTTCACTGCAGCCCTTTCCCTTGGTTGTCATGATTTTTTCTAGGCCACAGTTAACACTCGCCAGGGAAGGTTTCAAACTTTTCGGCAACCTTGATAAGATTTAGAGTATTTTTCTTTGACCTTTGGGTAAGTATTATGGGAATAAAGACTCCAGTAAATAATATATACCAGCAAATGGTCAATTAGAATTACTTTGGTTTTAGACAGAGGATACAATCCCATATATTTCATCAGAGTGAATGGCCCAAACAGAGACAAGAACCAACATACTAGAGTGCAACGCAGATGATCATATGCAGCATTAAGCTAAACTGACAGTGAAATTTGGATACCAAGGCAAAGAGGTGTAGACGTACACAAATTTGTTTACAAGAACAAAATGGAAGTACAGAGGAACTGTAGCACAAAGGTGTTTAACTATTATTTGAATATGCAGTTAGTACAATGACCAAATTAATCTTTCAGTCACACAACAGAGCATTAACCAATTCCAAGATGAAGTGAAGACGGCAGAAGTGATGGTTCAACCGCATTTGTATTGTTTTGGTTTTCAGTTCTTGTACAGAACGCAACGCATTGACACCATGAACATCACTTCTTGGTCTGTGCAGTGCAGTAACGGCTTCATTGTGCTGTATCTAGGATAAAAACATCTACACTCACACAGCTGTCAATGGACCGAAGCCGAAAGCTGAGACGAGCCCAATGACACTTAAACACGAGGAGTGGGCAATCAGGGCTTGCTCTGTGGTGGAGTGGGGAAATGATCGACGTGGGGAAGAGCCAGTTTTCTGGCTCCACAGATCGCACAATGTGTTGGTTTCTTCTTCTCTGAGCGCCGCACATGCAATTTATGACGGTGAAACCCTCGGGACGTCTCCGCGACAATAAACCCACACCTCAAACACGATCAGGCAGTTCCAACATGATCCGGTCTTTATGAAGTTCAAAAATAACTTTTATCTGATTTCATGAGTACGAAAACACACACCACACACACGATTTATTACAGTTAGGGATAATATGGATAATTTAGTAAAAACAAAACAAACCCCTCCCCCCCTGTAAATTCAAGAAATATATAAAATATAAAGTTCCTCAATTTAAATAAGCTGTAGCTTTTCAGATTAAATACTATTCCATTTAAAAGTGACTTGAAAGAGACACATGCAGGCAACTTTTATTGTCATTCAATTGTACATTTCAAAATGTACAATTGAAAGAAATTTTTTTCCGAGGCTAGAATAATAAAATAAGAAAGCATCAATCTAAATATAATACAATAAAAGACTAAAAGAGGCTCTATTTGAATGAAACATTAAATCTGTTTGTAATCTGCACTCTGTGTCTTTAAGACTCAAAAAACTCAAATACGCAGTCAAGAGTGAGAAAGAGAATGAGAATTTTAACACTTGTTTGGCATCCAGTTTTGATCAGAAAATACAAAGAATGCAATGAATGCACTCGTTAAACGTGAGCTTTGACAGTTTGGCCTTTTACCTGTACTCTTTTTTTGTGAAGGTTAAAAGATATGTATTATTGTTTTCTCATTTTCCGGTTGTGTTACCAAACAAATAAGACAAATTTCAAAAGGCCAGACACAAAACCAAAAACTGACATTCAAATCAGAACAAGAAGGTACAGAAAAAACAGTCAATAAACCAGAACAAAAATCAATACAAAACTCAAATCTGTCAATCCCAAACAACAAGCAAGGCTACATGTTGCATTATGCAAATCCTACGACAAACTGGATTCAGGACATGTGGAATGGATTCTCCACCTGTACGCGCAGCGACGTGCAAACAGACAAAAAAACAAAACAAAAAGCACCAATTGATTTCCTGCTTTTGAAGCAACATTGTTATGCTGAAAAGATTTCCAGCCACCTACTGAGCCGAAAATGTCAAGAATGAGCAACTGGAGGGAGATTCATAAATCTCCTTTTGTCTCTGGCTCTCTGTTACAGAAGCAGCAGCATTACAGTGTCACTTTTGGAAAAATGCACACCTCCCCGAGGCATGACCTTGTTGTCATTGTGCCAGCGCCATAGCGGATGCCATGTAAAGCGTTGTATACAATAAGTCATGCATGTGTGAGAATGTGTAGTGTTAATGTCTCAGGAAAAAAGAAAAAAATCCCTCACACAAGAGCACAGCTGTGTAAGTCTATGCATCCCCCCCAAAAAACAAACCTAATACATTTAGAGCCAGGATGTTGTCTCAGAGGACTGTGTGCAGAAGTGTGTGCGTGTTTGCGCGTGTGTGTGTGTGTGTCGGTGGTGATGACAGTGCAGCGGCTTCCCGGGGGAGGAGGAACACCAATAGCCATCACCGCTAGAGGAATCCGAGGGGACAGTGAGCTTTTCACTGACTGTCCCTTTCTCTCTGACAGCCCGGCTGCAGACACACAAAAACACGCTTCATAAACCAATCTCTCTCTCTCTCTCTCTTTCTCTTTTTCTATCCTCCTCCCCTAAGCCCTCCACCCCTCTCCCACCGTCATGTCTCCCACAGCCCTGCAAAACTCTTGCCACACTCTTTCCACATCACACTCACTCACTTTCAAT